AATTAAATTAATTAATAATTACTAATTTTTAAAACACCTCCAATTACTTTCAAATTCAACTATGTTGGAGAGCATGCTATGCCTAATTTAATATGCTAACACATATTGATTTCAAGCTAGTTAAGGCCATGTGAATTAATCTTTCACCTAAGATAAATATTAAATAAAAGCTTTAATACTTATTTAAATGCTCTAATTTTAATACACGACAATGAGCATATCATGAGGCAATATAACATCATGCTACATGTTTAAACCAAGTCATGAGCAACTGAAAAAATTAGATCCCGTACAAGAAAAATAAATAATAAAATCTCTAGATTTTATATTTAATCATGCAAACAAGTAGTAGAAGCATCACAAGCATGCTATATAACAAGAATTTAAACCTAGAACATCCCCTAACTCAATTTGAGATGAAAATCTCAAATCCCCACCGAAATGAAAGTGCTCCGAATCCGACAATATCGAGAGGTTTTGTCGGGGACTATCCCGGGAACAAGAATCCGCAAGAAGCCCCATGAAAATCTCAACTTGACTCCAAACCCGAACTCAAAAAATCGTCGGAAATGGATTCTAATAAGGGCATAAGATGCGCGGCGTCAAGACAAACATTAAACGTTAAGGCCGAAGACTTTTCATCAAAGAAAAGTGAACCAAAACAGGAGAGAGAATATAGCAACCATGGAAGGCTGTGAGATCTGGTCCAAAACGTGTGGGGAAGAAGAGGAAAATTCAGTTTTTATTTTTCAAACCCCCTATTTATAGAAAATCACAAAAAGTGCCCTGAAAGGGCCCCGCCTGGTCTGGAAAAGTAGATTTTGAGCATACGCGCTCAAACAGAAAAACTCCATGAACAAAAAAAATTCAAAATGAGAAAATATAAACAATGGAAGAAACGGCGTCGAAAACTGAGTTCCGAGCAGAAAGTTATGCCCTGAACAAGTTCGGCGGCAACCGGGTCTAGAAACTCTGAAACTGGAGAAAAATGACCAGAACGGAATTCTAAGAGTCCACAACTCGACAAAATGTGAAAATGAATCTCGTACGAGGATCCAGGCTCCAGACGAGATATTTTGCAATAACTTTCGTTAATTGCACAATGACCCCTATAAAAAGGGTTAACTGCGAAACTCCCCCAGAATGAAAATATCTTCCAAAATATATTTTCTTAGATACCCTTGAAATAAAATATCTTCAAAAGATATTTACAAAAAACACCCCAAGAAATGAAAAAGATTCTAAAGAATTGTGCATCCATGCCCATATGGCACTGGGAGCAACCAGAGTACTTTCTTGCAAAAGTAAAGATACGTATTTCGAGGAAACCACTCAAGATGAAGGCACGTGAAGTCAAAAACCAACTCCGAGCATGAGAAGTGAGGTTGTGCCAAAAACTAACAAACGGAGATAAGATAGAATAGGGAAAAGGACGAAATAGCGCATAATGTCGAAAACTGAAAAATTTGAAAATGACTCGGTCCTCAAAGGAAGTTGTCAATCCACGGAAAAGAGTCTCAGGAACCAATTCCGAGCACTCGAGATGACACTAAGCGACATGAAATAGAGCTTAGAAAAGAAAATTAAACGAAAAAAATTCATTCGTAAAATTTCAGGAAAAAGGAAAAGAAGGCAAATGACCGGGTCATTACATATTCTTTCTTTTCGTTTTGTTGTTTCTTCCTTTCACCTCTTCTGGGTTAGCTTTGGCTTATCTCTCAGTCCTATTTTCTGTTCCTTATTTCTATTTGGGGTCTGTGGTTCACGATTAGGGTTTTTCCGTTTGGTTCTGTGTCTCTTTTTGCATAATGGCTTTCTTTGGGTGTTTCTCACGCTCTCGGCTTGTTATTGGCAACTATATTGTTTTGTGGAAAATTTGGTGGACTTCTATTTTGTTGTTCTGGCTTCTCTCCTTTGATCTGTTCCATCTTGTGGATGTCTTCACCAGTAGGTTCTGTCAGGGTTGTTTCTTATTTCTTGGCATTCCCGTGCTTATGCTTTATGGGTGTTGGCAGTTTTTCCTTGGGGTTATGAGCGAAAATGTGTGTGCTTTTCTTTGGACTCGTCTGTTCATCTATATAGTATCCTTTGGAATGGGATTGGGCCAGCAACTCCATTTCAAATGTGCTGTTCTATCAATTTTGGGGGTCTTACTGGTGATAGATGCGTTTCTTTTCTTTTTGGGGCACTCGTTATCCACTGATCGACAGTGTGCTGCTTGGTTTGCCTTTTGCTTTGTTGATTTGTCGGTTGTTTAGACCGGCATCTTTGTGGAGTACTGCTATTCCGGTGTCTTTAGGGAGTGCTGTTGTTCAGATGATCTCATGGCTGACGTGGTGCTCTGCCTATCTAGATACTTCGGCTCGTTTGCTGTGGGGCCTACATGTGGGTTTTGATTTAGGGTGGTCTATGCCGGTGCTAATTTGGACGTCATGGCTGATGTTTGCCAAAGATTTGCTTCCTGCTTTGTTTGGATTACTGTGGGACCCTAATATTGACTTGGCCCTCTGTGTGTCTAAGGCAGTGCTAAGAATGCTTATATCTAATTTGCTTACTGATTGGTTTGGATTACTGTGGGACCCTACTATTGAATTGACTCTCTGTGTGTCTAAGGCGGTGCTGAGATTGCTTCTATCTGGTACGCTTTTTGATGCTACTAAGTCTTATCTTTTCTGCCAATGTAACACGTGTATGGTTGGGGTTGTCTGGAGTCGTGACTACATCTTTGTTTTGCTTGTTGTGGTTTATATATCTCTTTCTCATGCTGATATTTTATGTGGTACCATCTTTTTATATTATGGGGTTTTTTGCTTCATTCCGTTCCTTAACCTCGTTGTGTCTTTCTTTTTAGTTTCTTTTTGGTTTGATTTCAACTGGGTGAGGCAAACTCAGTGGGGGCTATGTGTTCTTTTGCTGATCTTTTTTTGGCAGGATGGCGATGGAAGATTTTGTTATGGTCCAGTTCCGTGGTATGACGTTGACCCCCAAGGAAAAGGAGCCTGTTCAATTGTCGGTAGATGATATTGCTCAAAATGATCACTTATGTCGCTCGAGTTTATTTGGCAAGGCGTGGGCTTCTAAAACTACTACTTTGGCTGGTGCAAAGTTTACATTTAGTAAACTCTTTCATAAATTATGGCTAAAGGACAAGCAGTAGGAGCCTTTTGCCAAGCGGTTATAAAATTTTAAGGTGGCGCGAAATTTATTTCAGATGGTTATTTCGGATGCTACTGTTCGACAGCATATCTTGGATGGTTGTCCGTGGCTTTTTGATGGTCATTTGGTGGTGATTAAAGAATGGGAGGAGGGTTTACTTGGGTCTGATGCTCTATTTTAAGTTTCTCCTTTTTGGCTCCAACTTTTTGATGTGAATGCTAATTTATTTTCTGAGAAAGTTAGGCATCAAATTGCTTTTACCTTTGGTAGCTGTTTAAAAGTTGAGCTGCGGGATAAAAGTATGAATGAAGGGAAAGAGTTACTGGGAATTGATAGTAGAGTTCTTCGAATTCGGGTGGAGATGGATACCACGCAACCTCTTCAGCGTCATGTTCTTCTTTCTAGTCTAATGGGTGAAGAGTCACGAGCGCAAGTTAGGTATGAGAAGTTGTCGTTGTTTTGTTTTGCTTGTGGGATTATAGGTCATCAATGGAAATCTTGTCTAAACAGCCTTTCTATGGGTCATGATGATCTGAAGGAGTATGGGGCTTGGTTGGGGGTGGATAGTTTCTTGGGGAAAGACCTTTGGAGTCATGACAAAGAAGCGCTAGAGTTGGTAGGGCATGGGAGTTATAAAAATTGGTTGTATTTACAAGATGGGGATACAGATACTGAAGGAGATATAGCTGGTTCTAAATCGTCTTCCATGTTTCGTCAAATTTCTCCTTGGGTAGGTGATCAGTTTGATTTCCCTACAAATGGTATGGGTTTTCTTATGGGAGATAAATCAAGGAATGTTGTGGTAGCTCTTTCCAGTGTGGGTGGCCAGTCACGGTTGGTCAGGGGTGAAGTTTTCAGAGAATTTTCAGGTGTTGTGATACGGGAACAGGATACTGGTAAGGGTGAGGTTGTTGGACCTGTGGGTCTTCCTGGTGTATCGCTAGATGGAGGTCTTGTTCCAGGTTCATCATCCCTAAGTCATGTGGCCTTAGTGCAAAATGATGATTTGCTGGCATCGGTTCCAGTCAACTCTCCTATTAAAGGCCGTATTCTTCCATTGCAAAGGTGGGATAAATTTCTAAAGATTGGAAGAAAGGTAAAAGTCGTGTCAAACCGGTGTTTGGATCTACCTCTGACTCGTCTGCCACCTGGATGCTGTTGGGAGTGAGGTTGGCTTAAAATTTGAATCTTCTGGAAAGTCTGGGGCTCATATGACAGAATCATATAATTCAGAATCGTCTTGGTCTTTTGCGACTCAGCTAGCATTGCTTGTGGGGGCTAGCACTCCTTTAGTTCCTAACACCTTTTAATCCTTGTTATTGTCAAGACTATGATCTTGACTTGGGTGTTAGTTTCTGTTGCTAGCTTTTGTTCTTGTGGTACTTTGTGGTTTTTGTATGGTTATTGTGGGTTTGTCCTTTACTGTAGATGCCGTATGGTACTTTTTTTTGCAAAAAAAAAAAAAAAAAAAAAAAAAAAAAAAAGAGGAAAAAAAGAAGACCCAACTAATTTTGGTATTGAAGGTAATATACATTATCTTTGACGGAATCTGTTAAAGTAAAAAAGAAAGCATTCACTAAGGAAAGAAAAACTAGTAGAGGGTTATTAGATAGTAAAAAAAAGTTATTTTTGTCATTTTATTTATAAATATATAAAACTGTAGCTTCTAAGTATAATTTTGAAACCCTAATATCATACGAGTTTAAGCCTAGGACGACTATAAAGTAATTTTGATCCCCAAATCTAATTTTTTTCAAATAAAATAAAATAAATGAATACAAAAATTAAAACGGACCTTGACTATCATATATATACCCCACAGGGTCACTGTCACCATCACTCCAGAGTGATTCGAGTGATATCATTATTTACTGTGCAATTCCTCGGCGACCAGCATTAACACCTTCGTTGCATAAATAAAAGATTTCAATTTTAGACTCTTTTGTCCGCTGTTTCTCGGAGAGTTGATCGGAGATGACGGCGACACCGGTCGTCCTAGTTGTTGCCGAGGATTGAGTCGCCGGAAGTTTTTTTTTTTTGTTTATGCTTAGATCTGTGAGTCTCAATCTTGTACTGTATAAATATAGCTTATGAATATCTGTACTGTATGCGATTAATGGTACTACTTGTGATTGTGAATGTTATGGTTTTGAGAACTAGCATTTAGTTTTTATTTCAGACGTGGTTCGAATTAGTAAGATCTTCGACTTGTTATGTCGGTTCAATGTGATTTACTTATATTTTATATACATCTGTATGTATATATGTGCTTCGATGTATTTTTTTAGGAGCAAGCTTTTTTATTTTGTACTATCAGTTAGCTTATTTTCACTTTTTAATTTTAAAATTTTTCATCCAATTTATGTCAATACATTCTTGTGATTTTATTTCTTCTTCTATTTATTTATTTTTTCTTTTAGGTTTGGTTTGATTGACTTTAGTTACCGTCCTGGAGTCCTGGCGTCCTGTTATGAAAAATTGGTTGGAAGATAATTGAAAATGTGTGTTTTGATTGCTAAATTAATTGTCCTAAATGTGAAAGCATTGATGACTATTTTGGAGAATTCCACTTGCCAAGTTAATGAAACTGATTTTATTTTATTTTTTGCCACTGTATTCGATATTTATTAATTTCTATGTCCTGAGTTTGAAATTTCACCACATACATGTAAAAAACTACAAATTTTTCATTAAAACTTTCTAGAAAGATTGTAATAAATGAAAATTCTTGAGAATTCAAATCAAGAAGTCAGTTTGAAACCTTTTTCATTTGTTTCCTGATTCAATCTGAGAGCAACACACTGATATCAACTTCTTACTTTTGAAAGGGACGTTAAGGATTTCAATATTAGTAAAAATATGTGTGTGAGAGTACCAAAAAAAAAAAAAAACTGAGAGCAAAGTGGTGTTCTAGAAAACACTTCCTGGGAAATGACAATTTGACTGAATTATTTGCAGATATTTCACTTCTGTTTTCTCTCTCTTCAGTTTTTCAACATTTTTGACTGCCTTGTCTGACTGAGAGATATGGATGGGCAAATGACAGATGGCTTCAGTTGTTTTGGGGTGAAGAGAGCGGTAAAGAAATTGTATTTACGATGACCAGATGAGCAAAACAAAGCGGATGTTATTGACGGGAAGGAGGGTTTTTTTTTTTCTTCTTCAGCTTCTGGGTATAGCAAGGGCCTGGCCCCTCTTCTCTTGGGTCGGAAGAACGAAGAAAAATCCATGAGAGTTTCACCGTGGAATTAGTACCAGTTGGTGGACCAAAATTTAGATTCTGACCTCCAGCTGGCTTCTGGGAAGAACCGGCTTGTCGCCGGTTGCGCTTCCTTTGTCTGCTTTGGTTGGGCTGTTGCGGCGGGACTTAAGAGTTCATCTCCTCTGAAAGTGGGCCCCACCCAACGACAGGAAGTTTTGCCAGGTCCTCCTGTTTCTGAGAAGGGCAAGGATCAGATTTATGCTGGTGATCTTGTAGACAGTGGTAGTAACACAAGAAGTGTTGTTCTTAAGAGTAACTTGAAGAAACCAACAAATAGCATTCCGGTTTCTGTTGAGGTTGGTAATAAATGTGAAGCATTGTGTGAAAAGGGTAAAGATAGCCCTCCTTATACAGAAAGGAGGAAAGTGCAGTGTATGGATGCATTTGGGAGAGAGCTTGTTGAGATTCGGGAATTTGAGCTGAGGTACGAAAACTTCGATTTGTTTGTTTTTTTTTTTTGGTCTCTGATATGATTTAAATACCCTTTTTCATTTCCTTGTGTTTTTGAAGCATAAATGAGATTATACGATTAGAGAATTCAACATGATATATCAGGTACCTGCAGCTTCAAACATAGAAAAACTTGTCCAGGCATGCTGTTAAATAGGAGAACTCGTTGCAGCAATAATGTCAATGCCAAACTAATAATATAAGGCCAAAACCTAGTGTGAAACCATTAACCAAATGGAGTGAAAGGGGCAGGACTGAGTATACACTTAAACTTTGGCATTAAGCTATTTTATTTTTCATTTTGATGGTAAAGAAGTTCAATAAATGCACCAAGGGGAATAATAAAATTGATGCCCAACTGATTCATGTTCTTAAATAATCTCCACTTAACTCGTTGCTGGCTCTTACATCGAAAAAGCTTAAATGGCCATTTTCATCATTTTCTATATCTTGCCCATCTTGTACATGCTTGACTTAGGACATTATTATTCATATAAAAATGATTCAGCATATTCAATAAAATATAATTTGATGAGTGTTAGGTTTCCTTTGGACATGCCGGGGTGCCAACATTTAGATTATAATGGTGAAGAAACACGAATCACATCAGATTCTTATTCAAACATTGTGTATGTATGCATTTAGCAATATGATAAATTATTAGATAGTTCAAGCCACTTGGACGTCTAGTAATATCTTATTAAACTCTGACGGGTCCACTTTTCTTAATTGGGGAGTTTTGATTGAACTGGATCGATTGGTCTAGGGCTATCTAATTTCTCTCAATGGTAGAGTGCTTTTGAGGCTTGAGTGGCAAGGCTTAAGAAAGAGCATCCTAAAGCACATTGCAAAGTATGAGAAATTGATGAGGCACATGCCTCATGCTTTGAGCTTTGCCCCATGTTTAGAATTTGTGCATTACACACTAACCATTTCGCTGGAGTTCTTATTCCAGAATTGGAAGTTAATTTTTTTTCCCCCACCCTTCACTTATTATTGAAATATTTAGATTTTTAGCTGAAGAATTGAGACATAATGAAAATATATTGTGTCTAAGTGTTAGCGTGTCTCACATCGGATCTGGTGGGATGTAAAATGAGTATATATGGGTTGGGTGTTATCTCCACCTAATAGCTTAAGCTTAGCTTTGGGTCGGATCATGAACCACCCGGCTTGTAACAGTTGGTATTGAGTCAAACTTACTCCTTCATCCAATGTTACGCCAAGCGTCAGGTTCGGAGGAGTCCGGATGTGCCCCCAGGTAGGTAGGGTGTCCCAACCGCAACGAGACAGTTGCGAGTTCGGGTGGGGGAGAATGTTGGGGGTGTCTTATATCGGATTTAGATGGGAAGTAAAATGGGTATATGTGCTGGTGTTAGCTCCGCCTAATAACTTGAGCTTTTGGGTCGGATCACAAACCGCCCGGCCATTACACTAAGCCTCTGAGGTAAACCAAAGTCTATGTCTATTACCATAAGTTATAAATAGAGAATATTTTAGTAGATTTATAAAAATACTATTTTTGATGATACCTTTTTATTTTTTTTCATCCTAATAAGAAAATGTTAGTTATATTATCATTACATAACATGAAAAACAATTTTATTTAAAATTTAAACATAGATACATAATTTATTTTTTATAGCATATGTATGACATACAATATATGCACATTGCTAGGTCAATAGGACTTATGTGATACCCCCTAATTTTGGAACACGGATTGATCAAGTCCGCGCACAAAATCAAGGGATATCAAAACAATTTAAGTATTTAACAAGCACAGAATACAAAGATGAATAATAAAGAATAAATAAACCGTTGAAGAAAACTAATAAATAAATATTACTTAATGATTCTCCAACAATTACAATTCGGAAATCCCATAACTCAAGGACCCCTTAAAACATTATCCAATAATCCAATACTATTTAAAAGTACACAAGATGAATAGACGAATGACAGTCTCCCAGCTGCGGATCCTCAACCTCGAGACTGGAACCTCTAATAACCTGAAAAATAAATCGTGGGTTAAACCCTACGAGCAAGTTCACTCTACCAGGCCTCTGAAAACCAATAAGCAGATCATCTCTGATCAAAACCAAACCTAATAAAGTTTTAACTTTAATAAAGCACGATATACATGTCTATATATAATTATATATACTATACTAATCACATCCATTAATAGGTTTATTAAATTTCCATACCTATTAAATAATTATTAAAATAATATTCATACCTAGACCAATCTACCATTTCATTTTGTAAAAACTCCTTTGACCTTAATCCCATCCTAGTCAGTTGTTTAATCATTTAAACAACAAATTATAATAAAAGAAATACTCTATTTAATCCCAACCCGATAATGATTTTAATTGTTTAAATCACATATCCAAAATCCAAGTTTTGACAAATCATCCACGTCTTCCCCAATATTATTTTATTAATGTAAAATAATACACTAACCAGTAAGTACTAAACTATTCTCATTTAAGAATATCTAACCCTAATCCAATCCATACATACAACAACCATAGATGATATTTTAATCATCTAACACATAACAACGTAATTATGCTTTGGCAAATCAACCATGCCATTATAAATATTTTTATTTATATATTGGCAATTCAACCATACCTCCATAAGTATATTTATTTATACATTGGCAATTCAACCATGCCTCCGTGTATGTATATTTATACATTGGCAATTCAACCATGCCTCCACAGGTATATTTATTCATACATTTAATTAGCAATTCATCCATGCTTTCCATATATGTATTCTATTCATACAAATATTTAGGTAATATATTTAATCATTTGACAATTCATCCATGCCCACACTTTAACCATGAATTAACTTTAAAATTAACAATACGCTAAATCATACATAGCCATCACATGCATATTATACGCATATCATTAATTTAACAACCAGCCTATTAAGATATGCCAAATAAGAATGATAATATATATATATATATATATATTCATCCTTCCATACAACTCATAGACAAATTAAACTATATATACACATATATAAATAATTATATATATATATATATATATATATATATATATATATATATATATACACTTCCTTCCATAACAAATTATTAATTTA